ATATGTATATATGTATATATATATATATGTCTAATTCAGCCTAATACAAGTGTTGTTCCATATATGTAGTTATTGGTAGTCCCTGGAGTTTGTGGACAGGCAACTGAGCTTAGAAATAGTGTCTGGGCATCTGAGAGGTGCCTGGGCGTCTATTTTCTCCATGGTGTTACCAGCACAAGTATGTAGACTTACAAAGACAGCTATTTTGACCTTTTTCCTAGGCTCAGTACAGCCAAGTCCTCTTGGGTGGCTGAGACCTGTACAGCATGGAGGACAAGGAGGCCTGGAATGGACATCACCCCAGTGGTTCTTAAAAAGTCTTAAGTAATCCATCACTGAGCACCCATTCCTTTACTATTCTCCTCCCTCAGAAGCTCCTGTACAACAGAGGGAGGGAAGGAGTAGGGAGGAACATTGGCTGGGAAGTCAAGTAGATTAGGTCCTAGTCTCAGCCTATTAACAACTCTCTGAAGCTTCCTTTCCCTCCATGGGCTTCAGAGTCTTCAAATCCAGAAGGAAATTAGTGCGAAGCCTCAGCACTGAGATTCAGAGAGCACCCCAATCCTACCCCTTATCCCTGATTATCTGTGTCTCTCTGTGTTCCAAGCAGAAGTCATAGCTGCTAAACTAGAGGGTCCGAGAAACCTTATTTGGATTCATGGTTTATATTCTGAGGACCAGTACATTAGCACCACCTGGGAGCTCATTGGAAATACATACTCTCGGGGCCCACCACAGAACTACTGAGTCAGAGTCTGCAATTTGATCCCAAGGGGACCCCTCTGTGCCTTCATGTCTCAGATGTACTGCTCTAGAGGCCTGCGGGTAAAGACTAATGTCAGCTTGAAAATAAAGAATGGGATTTGCAGTTAGGAGACCTAGGCTCTACTTTGAGTTCTGCCCTTTACTTGCTCTACACAATTCACCAAAATATGTAACCACCCTCATCCTTATTCTTAAATGAGGTTGCTCTCATAACCACTGAATGGAGTACAGGTTAATGGTACATATTCTGGAGCCAAACTGCTTAATCTTAATTCTTTATTTCATTTACTAGCTGTGAAGCTTTCAGTAAGTCACTTGACACACACATCCTTCCGTTTCCTTATCTGGAAAGTATAGTATAATAACAAGGGATTCTAGTAATAATTTTAAGTTAGAAGTGAATATAAATAACATAGGGCAGTGCCTGGCACAGCCTAAGTCCACAGCACATATTATTACACACTGGCCTTTTATAACATCTTTTAAGAACACAAAGAGACCTTATCCCCTATGGGGTTTGCATGGTGTACACCCTTCTCAACTGAAGGATACAATCACCTAAAGACTGAGGTTCTATCCTCTAGGCCATCAGACATCCGTGAGATTGGATTCATGCTATTATTTTGGAGCCATCAACCAGTCCCCTGGGGTCGATTCCCATCTTGTCTATTCCAGCTCCACTCACTCCACACACTTTCCTGCCTGCAGGAAATCTGTGGGAGTAGCAGCTCAGAGAGCTATGCAGTCCACCCAGGAGATGAACACTTGAACTGGCCTTCCCTTTTCCCTTTTCCTTTTTCAACTCAATGCAGTTCAAAGAGCAGAATGTCATTAAGGCATTGCTCAACAGACCTGTCACCATAGTCATTGCAGGGAAGACTTCCAGGAAGAGGGAGGTACCAGGGACCTTCAGCAGAACCCTATAGCTTAGCAAGAAAACTGCTGAGCTGAAAACCTCAGCTGCCACTAGGCAAACCTAGACAGTGTATTAAAAAGCAGAGACATTACTTTGCTGACAAAGGTCCGTATAGCCAAAGCTATGATTTTTCCAGTAGTCATGTATGGATATGATAGTTGGACTATAAAGAAAGCTGAGCACTGAAGAATTGATGCTTTTGAACTGTGGTGTTGGAGAAGACTCTTGAGAGTCCCTTGGACTGCAAGGAGATCCAACTAGTCCATCCTAAAGGAAATCAGTCCTGAATATTCATTGGAAGGACTGATGCTGAAGCTGAAACTCCAATACTTTGGCCACCTGATGTGAAGAACTGACTAATCGGAAAAGATCCTGATGCTGAGAAAGACAGAAGGCAGGAGGAGGAGGGGACGACAGAGGACGATATGTTTGGATGGCACCACCGACTCAACGGACATGAGTTTTAACAAGCTCCAGTAAATGGTAAAGGACAGGGAAGCCTGGTATGCTGCAGTCCATGGGATCTCAAAGAGTTGGACACAACTGAGGGACTGAACAACAATAGCCACTGCCCAATGCACATCCTCAGGACCTCTGCTCCTCAGAGGTGGGTCAATCCCAGCCTTGCTCTCTGAGTGCTGTTCCTTAGGTTGGCCATCTCCTCACAAACACCAAGCAGATGTACTGCTGAGGGCACAGTCAGACTGAGTTCACAAGCCCCACCCACTGGGATGGTTGTAACAACCAACCTAGGAATCTACAGCAACAATGTGTGCAGGATCCCCAAGGCTTGATGATTCCCTAGTATGACTCAGGACTTGGAAACACCATTATGACTTCTCAGAGTCTGGGAGTATTACTGAGCTGTTATATACATAGTTGATTTATGACAGTTAAAGTAAAATCAGCAAAGGGAAAGGCACAGGGGTGAAGTCCAACGGAAATCAGTTGTGAGATCCAGTTGTTCTCTCCCAAAGGAGTCCCATGGACAACACTTAATTCTCCCAGAAATGATCTGTGACAACGCATGCAGTGTCACCAGTCAGTCACCAGTCACAACTAGAGGTCCAGAGATTGTACTGGAGGTCAGGCATGCAGCTTCCATGTGACCACTTCAGCTACTCAGTCTACAGCCCCCAAATGTCAAATGAACACAGCATGGCCCAGGGCCTCAGACATACAAAATAGATCCTCACCATAAATCACACTGTTAGCAGGAGCCACCTGGTCATATGAAACAGAGAGGACTGGAATACAGAAATACCCTACTAGGCAGAACATGCCAGGGTCTTTGGGGTAGCTTCCCAGGAGTGGACAAGGACCAGTCTTCATCAGACAGGCTTTTCCTTGGAATATTTTAGTAACTGGGACCTCCTGGAGTTACCATTTACAATGAATTCTAACTTATTAATAATTACAGACTTAATTGCCATGTAGAAATGTTTTCAGTTGGGTATGAGCAGTGATCCTGGGCAAGGGTGGTGGGAAAGTGAAAGTCCACAGTGGAGGAAGGAGCAATAATGGGGACTAGCATGCTCCCTAGTGCTGGGGAGAGGACAACAAATGCTGCCACCAATTGCCAGGTGCTTTCTGTGGGCAAAGTCCTGGGCTTGGAGTTCTAGAGATGTTCCTTCAATTATGAGAACTATTTGGATGGGTGGTCCTTAGCTATGATGTAAATGAGGCTCAAAGCGCCAGTAAGTGGTGGAGCCAAACCTTCTCTTCTATGGACAGAATTATCCCAACAGCTGGGCAGAGTGTGGGCTACAAGAACACCTTGGCATGTTTCCTGGACCCTGGATGCCCAAGTCACACTAGGAAAAGCTGGCACTGCGTGAACAACCACCACACGTCCTTCACCAGCCCCTTCTTTCTGTGTGCTCATTCCTGCCAAGACAGGATACGGGGAGAGTCTGACTAGAACAAAAGACCAGGTCTTTCTGCAACTAGGGGTTTCTCTACTGTCCTCGGGACACTATCACACTAACTCTATTAAATTTCTCCTGTCTCTTGACAGTGTTGTCAGAAAAGGTTATCAGGTCATTTCTTCTGGAAATAGGTTAGGATCCCCAAATCTGGCCATCATTTACAAATGCACAAAGAATTCACGGGGCCGGGGGTCCCCACTCACATGACTGACAGTAAACAGACTCTTCTCCTAGGACTTCTACACAAGACTGGGACAGAGTCACTTCCCAGGAGACCTCCAGGTTGTAGATTAAGGCTATGATTCATCCAACTACCCTGGGAGTATCAATTAACTCATAGGGGGAAAGGGAAAAAGAGGGAGAAAGCAATGTGTTCACATGGAAGAATAAATAAATGTATGCTGGATGCCATGACTGCTTTCCTCACTTGTATCTCTCAACAGTGCCTGGAAGATATTGGCTGTAGCACAGGAGTGGGTGTCCTGAGCCCAGATTCTGCCCTGCCCAGACCAAGTTCTGCTTGCAACCAGGGAAGTGTCACAGGCACACAGCACATACTTAGCCTCTCTCTCCAAGACCCTGACAAGAAACAGAAAGCTTTCCTGAAGAGCACTACAGGACTTTTTAGCAGACCACATTGCCACAGGCTGGCATCATCAGAGAAAGTTCTCCCCTACTTTACGCTGTATTTTCAAAATGGGCAAAGCCCAGGTTCTCCAAAGATCCCCAGGTTCCAAGAAACCAGAACTCCTCGATTTATTTCAGGACAATTAGGCATCATGGTTTCTTCATTCGTGCATTCTGCCGGCCCAGCAACCTGGCTCCCATCCGCTGCTCCAGGCGGCTTCCCGAACTGTGCCTGACCTCTGCTCTCTGATCTCTGACCTGACACCAGAGCCCGGCTCCAACCGGCCCGCCCCGCCTCCAAGATGGCCGCACCCGTGTAGGTTGTAGTTATCACGGAGGCAGTAGCCACCACTACCGTTTTCTTATTCTCATGATCTAAAGAAAGAGGAGAGCGTGGCTTTGCGGGATGGAGGGATGGGAACTCCCCAGGGAGCACAGCCACAAAGAGGCCCGGCGGCGCAAGAGGACGAGGAGAGCGGGCCTCGGAGGCAGCGGACCCGGCTCCGCTACGACATTCTGCGCGGGCCTACTTGCCTCCCGCCGCCCGAGACGCCACCTCCCCCCCCCCCCAGCCTTTCGTACGACTCGTCGCGGAAAATGGTCGCACTACCTTGTCGCTTCTTCTAACCTCAGAGGGAGCCACGTCAGAACTAGCGTCCCTGAAAGGCGCCATGTTTCCCATTGGCTGTCTTGCCATTCCCCCCAGCCCCCTCACCTCCCTCCTGCGCGTGCGCAGCACTTGGGTTCCCAGGGCAACGGGGAGCGGAAGTGTTCTGCTCACCCCGAGGGCGGTGCGAATTGGTGCTGGCTGTTTTACGCCCACAGACTTCGGGTTCCTGGTAGTTTAGTAAGGGGAGGCGAAGTTGGGGGCGGGCTGGATGGGGAGGTCGGAGGAGCAGTGGGCCGTGGGTAAGGAGCTCTCAACCCCTGGGGTGTTGAGTGACAGGGCCGTGGGGCGGAGAGGGGACTACGGAGTTAACGAGTGAATGGTTCATTAATTGATTCCTTTAGCAACTGTTTACTTGGTGGTGGTTTAGTCGCTAAGTCCTGTCCGACTCTTGTGACCCCATGGACTGTAGCCAGCCTCTGTCTGTGGCAGTTTTCAGGCAAGAATACTGGAGTGGATTGTCATTTCCTTATCCAGGGGAATCTTCCTGGCCCAACTGTTTCCTTAGTGCATAGTGAATACCAGACACCATTGTTTCACGTTAGTCATCACAATAGCCCCATGAGTAGGTACTACGATTCTCTTCATTTTACAGAAAGAAAGCAAGAACAGAAAGGCTCGGACACTTGACCAAAGTCACACAGTAAACTAGGGGGATCCTTTTTCTTTTTTTCAGCATACTATTTATGCATTTCTAACTAATATACCCTGAATTTATCAACTTTATTGCTTGCTGTCTCTCCCCTGCTAAGAATATGGCTCCTCAAGATGGGGGAACTCTGTTAACGTAGAATGGGTAAAGTAGGCACTCACCTCTGTTATTAACTGAAGAAAAGCAGTAGAGCAGGTGGTCAGTTTCGTTCCAGAACCCAGACTCTTAGGAAATAAGGCAGTGCTTAGCTCTTTATCTAATGGTGGTGGTAACTGAGCTTACTAAATGTCAATTCTTAAAACTAGAGGGAGGCACTGTGCCTTCTAATGTCAAGGGAAACATTTGGATTTTCCTCAACTTCACTCCATCATAGACGTTGCTAACTGCATCTCCTGTGTGGTCATTCCCTTTCCAGGGTCAGGGTTCATAACGGCCAACAGCTCAAAGCTTCAGATGCCGGCTGATCTACCATGGGCTTCCTTAGTTAGTCTACAGAAGACCCAGTCTGAGACCTCAGAAGGAGGTGAGTTTTCCTGGTCAGAGGTAGAGACATGGTCCTGAAGGGAAGGTCCTAGCAAAGGTATCTTTCTTTGTCTTTGAATCCTTGGGTCCTGCCTCCTTAGTAATAAGACAGCTTATTTAGAAATTCCCTGGTGGTCCAGTGGTTAGGACTCCATGCTTTCACTGCTGAGGGTCCAGGGTTCAATCCTTAGTAAGGGAACTAAGATCCCACAAGCTGAGCAGCCAGACCAAAAAAAGAAAACCCCTAAAACCCAAAATGACAGCTTCTCCGTGGGGAGTTGGAAGAAAAGCACCAGCCCAGACCTCAGGGCAGAGTGGGGAGACCCACAGAACAGACTCAGATGCTCTGGTTAGAGGGAAGTGGCTCACAGGATAGCAGGTTCTAAAAGAACTGAACCTGCATTGCCCTCTGTCCCTTCCTTCAGCTGAGAGAGAGCAAGACTTCTAGCCACCATCAAGTGCTGTGTCATGGTGGTCAGTTGAACCCCTATTGCAGGAGAGAGATAAAAGTTATGGATGGATGGAGGGATGCTGCCCTGTGGTAGTGCTAGCAAGGACATGGTCAGGCTGGAAAGATTGATTCCCTACCTCCCAGGACTTTCTCCACTCTTAACACATTTGTGTTAAGCACACACATTTGTGCTCCCCTCTTGTGCTGTGAGCTACTTCAGTCAGTCCCATAGTATGAACAGTCCACTTGCCTGTAGCAGAAATGTTGAATCTCCTCTACCCTGACTAAATGACCAGAGAGATGTTTTTGGTTTCTGCATGTCTGTGAAATCTCAGAGTATTCTCTAGGTAGCCATCACCTAGCTATGCTACCCCATTTTCATGCTAGTAACTGGGTCTGGAAGCATGACTCACTAAGCTCCATCTTGCTGAACCCTATTGCCCTGATTCTAAGGCAGGGATTGCTAGAGTGGCAGTGGTTAACAAAAGCTCATTGCTGAAAATTTGTTTTGAAAACTGCCAAATAAGGAAGAGCTTGGCAATCAAATGGCCATGATGGGAAATAAGGAAGAATTAGGGAGGGAACAGGGAGGTGGTCGGCCAGAAGGACCAGGGTCGGGGGGAGCAAAGTCAATGGTTTGCAGTTCCATGTGGACCTGACCAATGCCAGGCCCTTAATCTCCCTCCATCCCCCTACCTTCCACCCTCCACCCCTTTCCCTTCCACCCTGCACTCAGCCCTGGTTAGTCTCCTTCCTCCAAACTGCAGCAAGTTGTCCCTGTCTCCAGACTTTGCTCAGGGTGTGTCACCTCAAGGGCTCATTGTGATAATTAGGTGGTTTGTAATAATTTCTCCTTTTTATTTTACTAGTAATTAATATTGTCAAAAGTGAAAAATGCAAGTAAACAAAAAAGGAAAGGTGAAATCAACCCTCAAAGGTAAGCAGGGTCAACGTTTTAATAGATGTTCTTCTTCAGTACATGCATATAGCTTAACAAGGGAGATCCCACCCACCTGCTTTCTGATAACCTGCTTTTAAATATGTTAAGACATGAGAACAGGATTCCATTGCATTTTTAAAGCCCATGTGGTATTTTCCATTTTGTGTATCTTATTTTTTTTAAACTTGAGCCACCTTTACTGGAAGTTTAGTTGCTTCCAGATTGTTGAATGGTGGAAACACCTACAGTTAACATCTTTGCAAATAAATTATGATAAATTCCAAGGCATAGAATTTTTGAGAGAAAGGAAATATCAGGTTGTTAATGGCTTCTGAGTAGAAGTCTTTAAACACAGTCATAGGGAGAGAAAATCAGTTTCCATGGGATTGTGCAAAACCCATGGGATCTTAGCCAAAGGAACAGCCTGGAGCTACCAGGCCTTGTGTCCTGATCATCCTCACTATGGGGCAGGGGTGATTGTTATTAGGCTGGCGATGGTGGTCTCAGGGCTGTGTGCACTGACCTCAACCCTCCTAATTCTGCCTTCCTAGATCTCCATCCTTGGTCTGGGCAGAACCAGATGGCCATGTCCCAGGTGAGTTCCTAATTTACCCCTACTTTGTTTCCAGTTAATTTAAGGTAGCAATTAGGAAATTATATTGCAACCTTGAAAAAATATATGTTAGTTCCCTCAGCTCTGGCTGTTTTCTGCTCAACCTGTCATCCACCTTAGGTTTCTCTAATCCTTCCTCTTTTCACCAAAAAGGCAAAAAAAAAAAAAAAAAAAAGAACGATGTAGAAAGGAAAAGACATTTTTGTCTACTTCTTACTCTTGGAACTGCACTTCATATTTTTGCCTTATCAAAGAAAATTGTTTAAATGCATAAACTTATCTTGCTTTTTCTATTCACTTTCACTTTCAGTGCACTTTTTGCCTTTTCATTATGTTTAAAATTGTGAAAGTAAATCCACATCTCATGTTATAATATGCATAAAATAAACAGTATCCAAAAGATCCCTATTTCTTCTTCTCCCAGTACCACATTCTTCCTCAGAGATGCCCACTGTTAGCAGTTTGGTGATAAGGTGCTGTAGATGCATTTACTTCAGTTTAATTAACTAAAAATAGAGGTACATGTTGGAGAAGGAAATGGTAACCCACTCCAGTACTCGTGCCTGGAAAATCCCATGGATGGAGGAGCCTGGTAGGCTACAGTCCGTGGGGTCTCAAAGAGTCCAACAGGACTGGGTGACTTCACTATCACTTTTCACTTTCATGCATTGGAGAAGGAAATGGCAACCTACTCCAGTGTTCTTGCCTAGAGAATCCCAGGGACGGGGGAGCCTGGTGGGCTGCCGTCTATGGGGTCGCACAGAGTCAGACACGACTGAAGCGACTTAGCAGCAGCAGCAGCAGAGGTACATGTAATGTGTGTTTTTTCTCAAATGCCATCACACCCCCATACCCATCTTGCTTTTCCCACTTGATTATATTATGAGTGGTATTCCCCATCAGTACATAGAAACTGTTTCAGTTCCTCTTTCGTAGTATGGATGTCTCATTTAACTATTTCTCTTTTCATGAGTATTTGGTTTTTTTGTTTTATTTTTCTATTGTAAACAGTGCCTCATGAACTGCTTTCTATGTATCTGTTGGCCCATTAGTACATGTATTTATGGAGAGTACACCTGGAAGAATTTTTGAACCAAAGGTATTCACACCTTAAATTTGCTTTCCCAAATCCTGGACTGATTGGTACTTTCACAGAATTTTAAATACCAGATAATTTCTGTGTTCAACTCATCCAGGCTGTTGCTGAAAGATTAGAAGGAATCCAGTTCATGCTATGATGCCATCTAAATTCGAGGAAGATACTACAGAAAAGTAAACAGCGAAAGACCACTTTTATTTAAGCATATGGATGCAGAAATTCTAAAAATGTCTTCTGAATAGAGCATTAATAAATTGAATTAAGCATTTTTAAAAAAGTACTCTGTACCTATGGTAAAACATTCAAACAAACACTTTGTTCAACAAAAGGTGAAAAATAATTTTCCTTCTCACCCTGTTTCCGTATCTCCTTCATATTTCATGCATGCTGCCAGAAATCATGTGTGCATATTTATTTGTCTCGATGGAAGAATCCCCGTTCCTTTTATTTTCTTCCTTTTCACGTATTACAGCACATTCTAGTTCTTTCTTTGTCCATTCCATTTCACTGTGTGTTTGATCAACCTTAACTTTTCTCACCTCAGCACTCTTGACCTTTGGGTCAGATAATGCTATGTTGTGGAGGGGTGCCATGTGCATTGGAGGATATTTAGCAACATCTCTGGCCTCTGGGTAGAGGGATACCAGCGCCCTGCCCCCCAACCCCCCCTTGTTGTGACAGTGGGCTAAGGAGAAGTGTATTGTTGCAGGAAACATTGACCTTCAGGGACGTGTTTGTGGACTTCACCCAGGAGGAGTGGCAGCAGCTGGACGCTGCTCAGAAGAACCTCCACAGGGATGTCATGCTGGAGAACTACAGCCACCTGGTCTCCGTTGGTGAGGGACCCTCCACAGGGTGACTGGAACACACCCCCTTGTGTTTCCCTCTCTGGGCTGCTGCAGCTCAGGGGTATCTGGCCCTGAATGAGTCAGGCCTCAGGCTCCCCAGTCAGGAATTCCTAATGGCGTTTGCCCCCTGCCCAGGATGGTCATTATCTCGCCTTCTCTGTGGATGGTCTGCATTGAGGGCCCACTGGCTAGGCTCATAGGGCAGTCACCAAAGCCAGACCATCCCCGTCCTGCAAGGATGGGCCTTGGTTCTGGGATGCTGCAGATGTTCATAACCAAGTCCTCTGTCATTTCCTCTCAACAGGATACCTTGTGGCCCAGCCACATGGGATCTTCAGGTTGGGACAAGGAGAAGAGGAGGCTGGGATGGCAGCTGGAGAAAGCCTGATGTGGAGCTGTCCAGGTGAGCCCATGCCAGGCCAGCTGGGCCAGGCAAGGGGACCTTCACGGGTCAGGGAGATCTTGGCCTCAGCAGCACACCCAGGAACTTATCTCAGAAACCCCAGGCTTGGGGACACAACTCAGGGCTGATGGAACAAACTGCTGTGATAGCTACATGATGCCCCACCTGCCACTCCTCCACAGCCCCTTATTCTTGGGGTTCAGACAGAGGCGGCTGCTATTGTTCTCTAGATCCTGTCCCCACCTTCTAGCATCTCCAGTATATGGAGATGTGCCTAGGTTTGTCTCTTTCCTCTTCTCCTCCTTTCTGAAAGCTGTTAAACCTTCTCTCTTGGGTATTCACATGTTCATCAGAAGCCAAGCCGATGGAAGGATGAAGTTTCCTCTTTATTTGGCATATTGTGGGCCCTCAAAAGTCTGAAATGCAGTGTCTTTAACCTCAGGGAAATTATCCTCAGGAAATTATTGATTTATTGGAGTTGGGATGGACAAGAGGGCTTTGCTTAGTAACCTTCAGCTCTACCAGGCCAGGTACCACCGTGTCCTTGTCTGCTCTCACTTTGAGGCTAAACAGTGTCAACTTCACACAGGTTTCTGTTTGCTCATTTCTCTCAGACCATTCCAAATCTGACTTGATTCCACCTGTTGTCAGATTCCTCCTCTTATCAATACTTCCCTCCCACTCAACTCTTTTGTCTTTTGTATTACCTCTATTTATTAAAATAAATAAACCTGAGAGCATATTACTTCCATAGCAGCATACTTCAGTGAGCACTGTCTGCTTTCCTGTTTGTTTGTTTGTTTTTGCTCAGGGTCTCTTATGGTGACCGAGGAAGTCTCAAGACATTAGTCTTTGTCTTTTTCTCTCCCGCTCTTAGTGGCTACTCAGCGGCCCCTCCCGAAGAAGTCTGTCTAGATCACTGTTACCCTTCACTGCGCTCCATGGACCAGCAGCCTGGGCATGGCCTGGGCTCAGAGTAGACGTGCAGATTTGGGATCCACTTCAGCTTTACTGAATCTGCATCTGCTTTTCAACAGCTGTTCAGAGATTAGTTTCATGACTGCAGCTGTAGTCAGATGGGCAGCTGATTCCAGATGACTCTCTAGATGGCTTCCCCAGAGCCCACTCCTGCCTGGCAGGTGCACCCTCTCACTCAGAGCCTTCCTGAACCTTCTCCCAGGGACATTTTGGCCTACAATTTACTCTTTATCAATCAATTCCATATCTGCTGCTCCATAGAGATTCATCAGGGTTTCTGGTCTGCTGATGGCCTGCTTTTTCCTGCTTCCAGTGTTTCCAGGAATTGAGTCTCATTCTTATTTCAATATTAATTGTGGAAGGAGGAAGCACAGACTCAAAGGCAGCTTCCACCCTTTGAAGTCACATTTCCCATGTTGAGTCTGAGTGTGCAGAACAATCTGAGATATGAAGTAGTCTCAGTGTGTTCCCAGTCACACCTCCAAGGGCAGCTTCTTTTCAAGGTTTCTAATTCCTCTGATGAGCATCTCTAAAGGTCCAGGGAATACCTTCACATCTGCATTTCTCAGTTCTCTTTCCCTCCTATGAAAAATAAGGATTTAGTTCAATTGACCTTGATCTTCTGCTCTGTAGTGCTTCACAATGTTCATTAAGTTTTTATTTTTCCTTTCTTTGTTGGCTATCCTTGTAACTTTCAACAACATAGCTAAGCTTCTGTTTTTGCATTCCAGTTGGTAACTTTCTTTAAATCATAGCCAAATGCCTGTGGCTTAATTTTCTACCTGGAACACAAACCCCTAGAGGCAAGAGTCCACATCTTGTTTTCATTCATCCAGGTGTTGGTCTGTAGAGGCACTAAGTAAATATTGCTTTGATAGTTTTGGACTGGGGCAGAGGAAGGAGGTTTGTTATTCTTCCATAGCCCAGTGGTGAAGAGCTGGGACTTCGGAGCTCACAGCCTAGATTCAGATTCTAGTTTTTTCACTCACAAGCTGTCACTTTGTACACATGACTTAGCCGTTCTTTGCCTGTTTGTAGAATGGGGCTAAATGCTAGAACTTAAAGGACTGACAGAATTTAATGAGTTGATAAATGTCAAGCACCAAAAAAAAGTGCCTTGGAATAAAGGAAGTTCTCAATATATGTTATCACTCTTTGTATTGTTGTTATTAGCCATATAGAATATTTGTTTAATGTAATAGTTGTCAACCAGAGGTGTATCACCTGTGGAGGCCTAGTTATGTGCATTGTAACATTCCAGATAGTTCTGATATCCATGCCTAGTTCAGATTCATTGCTTTAAATGTCTGCTAACAGAGGTTCAAAGGACTGTGAGACTTAGCAAGGCCATCACCCAGGAGCATGGGTCAGTCAGATGGGATAGTAAATAAGAGCACACAGCCTCACTACTGGTTAGCTTGGTTCTCTTCCTCCATTCCTCCATTCTTCAAACTACTTAAGGGCTTATATTCTCCTCTGGGCCCTGGATGAAATCTCTGACAAATCTCATAAATTCTCGGATTGTTCTGAGCTAATAAACATCTTCTGTCAAGATCCACATATCAAGAGTAGCCTTGCTGTCATATTTATTATTTTCAATTTGTTGAGCTTTTCACAGAAAGAACTTTTACCTTTGTTAATTTTCTTTATTGTGTTTTCCATTTTGTTGATTTCTCTTTTTACATTTATTTCCATTTCTAATTCTTTGGGTTTACTTTGCTGTTCTGTATCAGCGTCTTTTCCCCTTCAACATTTTATTATAAAAATTTTCAGACAAAACAAGCAAAATAATTGTTTGAACATCCATGTAATATCATTTAGATTCTACAATGAATGTTTTCCTATATTTGCTTTATTGCCTATCTGTGTGCTAATTCCTCTCTTCCATCAATCTCCCTTTTTTGTGTGTGTGGAATGCATTTCAAAGTAAGTTGTGGATATCAGTACACTTCACACCTAAATACTCCCACAGGCATATCATTAACTAGAATTAAATATTTCTTGGTATTTTTTCTATCCTTAATGCTTAACAGGTGTTTTCATAAAAGGAAATGCAAAACTAGCACAATATGATAGTGCGTTGTATGTGGTAATGGTTTAATGTAATTTCCAGATGCATTTTCCATGTATTGTCATGATATATGTAACTGCAGTCTCTTCTTGAAAATGAAGTTTGGGTTATTGAGGTATAATTTATATACCATGAAGTTCACCTCTCAAGTGTACAGTTCTATATATATTGACAAATATATAGTCATTTAAATACCATCACAGTCAAGCTATTGGACATTTTCATTCCCCTAAAACATTCCCTTATTCCTCTTTACAATTAAACTTCTCCCCTACTCTCACATCCAATCTTGTTTCTTCTTCTAGTTTTGTTTTTTTCTAGAATGTTATATAAATGAATCTCATAGTATATAGCCTTACACATCTTGCTTCTTTCATTTACCTTAATGCTTTTTAGGTTCATCCGTGTTGTGACATGTTTCAACAGTCTGTTCCTTTCTGTAGTCAAATGATACTTCATTTGCTTACCATAGGCCAAGGTATGCACTTTTGAATTTTTTCTTTTTTTTTGGTTATTATGAAAGAAGCTGATATGAACACACTCATGTTTAGGCATTTGTGTGGGTATATGTTTTCATATTTCTGGGGTAAATATCTAGAGTGGGATTGCTTGGTCATGTGGTAAGTGTATGTTTAACTTCACAAGACACTACCAAACTGTTTTACAGTGTAACTGTACCATTTTGTATGCCTACCAGCAACATATATGAGTTCCAGTGTTTTGCTTTCTTGCCAGCACTTGGTATTATTAGTATTGTTAGTCTTTCTAGATACTGTATGAGAGTAACTCATTGTGCTATTAATTTGCATTTCTCCAATAACTGATATTCAGCATCTTTTCATGTTCTTTTGTTTGCCATCTATATATCGTTGGTGAACTATTTCCTGTAATCTTTTGCCATTTTTGTTATTATTAAATTGTGAGAGTTCTTTATATATTCTGGATGCAAGCCCTTTATCACTATGTGTTTTCCAATTCTTTACTCCCATGCTGTGGCTTGTTTTTATCTTAACAGTGTCTTTCCTAAAAAAGACATTTTTAATTTTGATAAAGTCCAATTTATCAAATTGTTCTTCTGCAGTTCATGCTGTTATACCCTGTATAACAATTCTCTAACACAAGGTAACAGAGATTTTCTCATATTTTTATTTGAGAGGATTTATAATGTTAGCTCTTACGTTTATCAGGCTTCCCTGATAGCTCAGTTGGTAAAGAATCCACCTGCGATGCAGGAGACGCCAGTTTGATTCCTGGGTCAGGAAGATCTGCTGGAAAAGGGATAGGCTACCCACTCCAGTATTCTTGGGCTTCCCTTGTCGCTCAGTTGGTAAAGAATCTGCCTGCAATGCAGGAGACCTGGGTTTGATCCCTGGGTTGGGAAGATCCCCTGGAGAAGGGAAAGGCTACCCACTCCAGTATTCTGGGCTAGAGAATTCCATGGGCTGTATAGTCCATGGGGTTGCAAAGAGTTGGACATGGCTGAGTGACTTTCACTTTCACTTATATTTAGGCCCATGGCCAATAATGAGATGAATATTTTTACCTGGTATGAGGTAAGGGTCATTGTTTTCCTTTTTTTTGCATATGCATATTTAATTGTTCAAGCAGCATTTTTTAGAAGACTATCTCTTCTCCATTGACTCACCTTGGTAACCTTATCAAAAACAGTTGAGCACATATGCATTGATCTGTCTGCCAATACGGCACTCTCTTAATTACTGTAGCCTACATGTTCACATCAGGTACAGTTAATCTTCCACCTTTGTTCTTTTCATAATGTTTTGGTCCTTGATATTTTCATATAAATTTTAAAATCAGCTTGCCAGTATCTGTATGAAAGCCTACAGGGATTTTATTTGGAATTACATTGAGTCTGTGGATCATTGAAATACTAAGAATATTGAGTCTTCCAATTCACAGTGTATCACAATGTACACAATTCAGTGTATCT